GTCTGCGTGTCTGTGTGTTTGTGTCTGTCTGTCTGCGTGTCTGTGTGTTTGTGTCTGTGTGTTTGTGTCTGTGTGTTTGTGTTTGTGTCTGTGTCTGTCTGTCTGCGTGTCTGTGTGTTTGTGTCTGTGTGTTTGTGTCTGTGTGTCTGCGTGTCTGTGTCTGTCTGCGTGTCTGTCTGTCTGTCTGTCTGTCTGTCTGCATGTGTTTGAGTGTGTCTGTCTGTCTGCATGTGTTTGAGTGTGTCTGTCTGTCTGCATGTGTTTGAGTGTGTGTGTCTGCCTGCATGTGTTTGAGTGTGTCTGTCTGTCTGCATGTGTTTGAGAGTGTGTGTCTGCCTGCATGTCTGTGTGTGTCTGTCTGTCTGTCTGCCTGCATGTCTGTGTGTTTGTGTCTGTCTGTCTGTCTGCATGTGTTTGAGTGTGTGTGTCTCTGTCACACGCTGCCGCATTAGTGTGCCGATCGCTGATTGAAGATGGATGATCTGTCAGTATTCATGGATTTTTCTTTTCCTTTCTCCTGTTTTCTTCTCCCCCTCATTCTTCTTTCTTCTCTCCTCTGGCTCTCCTACTCCTTCTCTCTCGCCCACCTCCTCCCTCTTCTCTGGCTCCCCTCCCTTTTCTTTCCGGCCACCCCCACCCCCACAGGATGGCACTTTAATCATACACAGCGTTCGGCGGGGCCAGTTCCTGCGCACGCTGCACCCCCCCTGCGAGGGCTGTTTGCCGTCCCGGGTGACGGAGGTGCAGGTGGGCATGGAGGGTCACATCGTGGCCCAGACCCTCGTGGCCGGTCACTCCCCTGGCCAGGTGAGCCGCCCCCCCCCCGCCCTGAAATATCTGGCGCCCGAGTGTGCCCGCTCCCCCTGACCGCTCCGCCCCCTTCAGGAGAAGCACTTCCTGCATGTGTACTCGGTGAACGGGCGGCAGCTGGCCTCGGTGCCGCTGGAGGAGCAGGTTACGGCCCTCTGCCTGGTGCCCGACTTCGCCGTCCTGGGCGGTGCCCAGGGGAACCTCTACATCAGGGACCTGTATAGGTGAGACGTGCGAGCAGGATGCCCCGGCTGTTATACTTGATTTTGGGAAAGCTGTGCAGCCTGTAAGTGCCCCCGTGCCCCCGTGTCTCTCAGCTTGAAGCTGGCAGTGCCCGCTCTGGTCCTCAAGCTGCCCATCCTCAGCGTGTCCGTCACTAAGGAATCCAGTCACATCCTTGTGGGCCTGGAAGACGGCAAACTCATCGTGGTCGGAGCCGGGCAACCGGGAGAGGTGAGGCGAGCGGGGAGATCTGGGGGGGAGCAGCAGGAGGAGACGAGGGGGGGGCACAGAGAGCTCTGATCGCCTCTCCCTGGCAGGTGCGGTCCGGACAGTTCTCCCGCCGGCTCTGGGGCTCCACTCGTAGGATATCGCAGGTGTCTTCTGGCGAGACGGAGTACAACCCCAGCGACAACATCGGCAAGTGAAGCATGGAGACCCAGTCCTTGGGGGAGGGGGGGGACAGGGTTGTCGGAGGAAGGGGGCCAGGCCTGCAGTGGGTCTACAACCAACCGGACCCAGAACTCCTCCCAGCCGGACTCGGCCTGGAAGTAGTCATACATTTGTGGACTCAGTCACCCAGTGCCTTGTGCAGAAAACCAGCGAGGGCCTTTCTGCACCTCCTATCCATGGAGATAGGGGGTGCTGGAGAGGCAGGACAGATGCAATGGGAGCCTGTTTCAATGCTGCAGTCATTCGTTGTTTCTTTTTTAAACAGACTATTTTACATGTTGGGTTTTATAATGTTTTTAAAACATTCCAAAGACTTTTTCTGTGATTTAACACCAAGAACAATTTATTATTATTATTATTATTATGATGATTATAATATAAGTAGGTGGGGGTGTTAGATGGGGGTCTCTAGGAGTTTGGGTGGTGTTAAGTTTTGGTTTTGCACACTATGAGGGGTTGTTAGCGTTTATGAAGACTCAAGCTCGGCCGAGGAGGTCCCAGCACAGAGGGGGGGCAGTTTCGGTACTCCCCCCCCACCCCAGCATGCAGAGGCTGCCTCCCAGTGGTGGCTTCCTGCACTACGGTACATGTGGGTGGGACTCTCTCCTGGATATGGTGTGATGGCAGCAAGGAGCATCAAACCCAGCAAGTCTGCTGTCAAGGTCCTTATGGGATGAGACTCACACACGCACATACGTGCACATGCACACGCACACGCACATACGTGCACATGCACACGCACACACGCACATGTGCACATGCACACGCACGCACACGCACACGTGCACACACACACACACACTCTTTTCTGTATGTCCAGCTTTAATAAGGCTTCTTCCTGTTCCTCACTGGTCACGGACGCTTGCCCATGGCACCTTGCACTAACTCGTGCATGTGGCGTAAATGCACGTTTCCTTTAAAGTGCCTTTTGACGGGAACTCGGAGATCAACCGAGACAACCAGCTTTCACTGCCACACACGCATCCTAAAGGATAATAAAAGGTTTCGAATAATGGTTTAGGTGCTGAAACTTTGTTTCGGCACTTTGTTTTAATTTGTGTTTCACTGTGGCTGTGATTTTGTTTGCGTGTGTGCGTGTGTGTGTGCGTGTGTGTGTACAGGAAATATTAAGGATGTTAAAACATACATGGGTGTTTTGTCTGGGCAAGGGGGTGTGAGAGTTGCCCCCCACTCCAGGCATCGCTGTGCACAGGCCTCCCCAGGGATCGGGGACTACACGGTCCCTGTGAAAGTGACCCGAAACCCCCCCCCCCCCATTTCAAGCCAAAACACTTTTGTCTGAGATTTGTGTTTGTGCCTTTCTGTTGGAACCTGGGTGTGTCTATTACATTTGCCCCATTAAAGAAGTGACCTTTTACTCTGTTTTTTACTCTGTTTTACTCCCCTTTGCCGTCTTTGAGCTTCGGAAAGCTTCAGGGCATTTCAGTTTGTTTATTTTTATATAGCGCCTTTCACACCCCAGTTACCCCGAGGCTCTTGACGAGAGTGAGTGGCAGAGAGGTGGCTGGGGGTGGGGGGCGCTCTTTCCAGCGGTCAGGGGGGCGGCGTTGTGGTCTTCTACACACTCGCGGCTCTGCCTTTCTGACGTCCCCACGCTCACGGCCGGGTGCGGGTTGTGAGGGGCACCGCTAACTTTCTGTGGTCACACTGGTCTGCTCCGGGATGGATGGATGGATGGATGGATAGATGGATACTTCATTAATCCTGAGGGAAACTGCAGTTTTACAGTAGTACAATACACATATTTACACAGTATAATACATTCAAACCTTCATAGACAGTAGCAATATTGTTTTGATTCATTCTGTATCCCTCCCCTGCCCCCCGCTCAACTAATTTTATTGTGAGTGACCGGGTTGGTGGCATCCCATATCTCTTCAGATTTAAAGTGGCAAACCTGTGGCAACACGTACATCCTGATGTGCACATGGCGGCTTTGGGGGGGGGGGAGGGGCTTTGGAGTGAACCTGGTACCTGACCTCCATAGACCAAAGCCTGGTATTTGCACCAGCCCGTGACACCCACAGGATCCTGGAAAATGGCGTTTGTGACGTTTTCTCACATATGTCATATATGACATTTGAAAGGTGAGGACTCCCCCCCACCCCCCCATTAGCACTGCCGCCCAGGAGAGACTGTCCAGTTGCTGGAGGTGAAGTTGAAGACTCCTTTCTGTACCACACTCATAACCATGCTGCTCAAATTAGTGTCCCCCCCCATTTTGTTATCCCTGTCAGGGTTTAAAAGGTCACCGTAAAGCCACATTTATTTAAAGAGCCCCCTTTGATCCCGTAGTGGGCCAAACATCCTGGAAGGCAGCTCATAAACAGCCTTGGGGGGGAGGGGGTGGGCAATTTAGTGAGCCGTGGAGGAAAGGGGAGGCAGGACAGTGGTAAAACAGACCTTGCCCCCCCCCCC